TTTCATTTAATAGCACAAGCTAAGCTTACGACCGGTTTCGACCTTGCGTAAGGGTCTTCATCAGGTAAGTTCGGCTATTAAATTTTAAAGTGCTGCAATTCGATTCTACCTACAAATTTGAAATAGTTCAATGGAAGTCTAGCAAAGATCTAAACTTTCACTAAACTACCATCAATATATTGCAGGAGAATCACAATTATTTCGAAAATTTTTTAGCAAAGAAGCGAAATGTGTTTGAGAAATAAAAGGGTAGGAATGCGACGACCGTTTTTGGCCTTGCGAAAGCGACTTATGGATGTGGGTGTTATAAAGTTACCACAATACTAAGTATATAGTATTTCGATTTTTGAAGGAAAATCTTGTCAAGTGGCACGTATTCGTATGGATGATCGGAAAATATAAGAAATTTTTAAACCAAATACTAAATCCTCTTCAGTGATTGTTCGCTGAGAATTATGAAAGTCCATTTTCTTATCTTCATCTTCATCTATATCGTCATCATATTCGTGAAAGATATCATCGAACCGATCAATATTTGGTTCAACCTATATTAAAATGTATTGTCTTAGAAAATCATTCAAAATCTTTAAAATAATACATACATCTTCGCCTGAATCAGTGATTTGGGCTTTTTCAGAAACGAAAAATTCAATCTAAACAAGTATTGAAATCTAAAATAAGTAATGCAAAATTCTCTAAAATTGAATAATAAAAGAACAATTTTCTTAAAAACAAATTATATTAAAGATCGACTTATATCTGTCTCTAATAGAATTGCTCTCTAATAACCTACAAACGGGCACAATTTATATAATATTTAGAAAGGAATCTGAAAATTCAGTTACAATATGCAAAAAAACGATATCGAATGTGTCGAATAAGTTATTTTTCATAGATTGAAAGAGTCTAATGCCGAGACATTAATTTTAGAGATGTATAGTTACTTCGATGATAGTTCAATTGGATTTCGTGTCTGTCCGAAGTTTGGTGAAAGCACGAAGTTTTAATTTGTAGACAGATACAAGGTGTTCACTAATATTGTTGAAACGTTTTATCATAATATCGAACATAACTTTAGTTAATATTCTATCAGATAGATGTGTAGATTCATTTTCTTTTAATTTATTCATTGCATTATTAAACTGTAATCGATATTGATTTGCTCGAAATTCAGCAGCTTCGACATAAACCTGCATCATATCAACTTTTGTTCGTTGTAAAATTTTATCATATCGACCTTTTAGAGATTGAGCTGTCTCCGTATCCATTATTGTATGTATTGGAGTAGGTATCGATATTTCGAGTTTATCAAATGATGTTGGCAGATGATTATGAGTGATACGCTGTTTTAATAGAGCAAGTTCTAGTTTTGATTTCTCCATATCAAATTTCTTTTGTGTAAGATATTGAAATAGTTGTTTCTAAATAGAAGAAGATAACTAGGAAATATAATGTTTTATACTGTTCCAAAATTTACTTGATACACATTTGAATTTTCATTATAAAATTCAAGTTCGGATAATCGATCAAAGAAATCATATTCAATATGGATGATTTCTTTTTCAATAGGTATTTGATATAAAATAATCTTATAGTCTTGAACAAATTTCGTAATAGTTTCTTCAATTCTACTTGTCCAGCGATTGCGTAAATGTCGCTTTTTCTCTTCCAATTGATTTTGGTAGTCGGACATTTTAATTCTATATTTCTCTAGAATTTTCTCTACGTATTTTACACACTCATCCTGATAGATTTCGTTCGGATGCGTGGCTTTCGTTTGATTTTCTGCAATCATTTTTAATTTCAGCTCGTTAGGCCACAATAGTAGAGACGGTTCTTTATTTTGTACTAATGTACCCTGGCCAGAACGTAAATATGTCGTATAAAGATATTTTTCTAATTTAATACGTTGAAGTTGATCAATGAGAAATGCAATAGCTCGTAATTCTTCCGTATAAATAATAGTGTCAGTTTTTTGACGGAGACCGAGGATCATCCGATCGAATTCTTTACTTTCATGTG